TTGTTTAAAAAAATTTGAAAAAACATGATTTTCCATGGAAAATATGAATTTTAGGGAAAATTTTATGCAAACTTTTTTACTGTGCTCGCTTAGAACAAGTCAGCACAACTTTTGATTTTTAAAAATTTTTGTTTAAAAAAATTTAAAAAAACATGATTTTACATGGAAAATATGAATTTTAGGGAAAATTTTATTCAAACTTTTTTACTGTGCTCGCTTAGCAAAAGTCAGCACAACTTTTCATTTTTAAAAATTCACATTTTTGAAAATTTTTGTTTAAACAAAATTTGAACAAACATGATTTTCTGTGGAAAATATGAATTTTTTTAAAAATTCTCATGTTTGAAAATTTTTGTTTAAACAAAATTTGAACAAACATGATTTTACATGGAAAATTTTAATTTTACGGAAAAGTTTTTTCAGACTTTTTCGTTGAGCTCAGGTAGCACAATTCAGCACAACTTTTTATTTTTAAAAATTCTCATTTTTGAAAATTTTTGTTTGAAAGAAATTTGAAAAAACATGTTTTTACATGGAAAATATTAATTTTAGGGAAAAGTTTATTAAGACTTTTTCGTTCTGCTCAGGTAGCTGAATTCAGCACAACTTTTCATTTTTAAAAATTTTTACTTATGAAAATTTTTGTTTAAAAAAATTTGAAAAAACATTATTTTCTGTGGAAATTATTAATTTTTTTAAAAATTTTCATTTTTGAAAATTTTTGTTTAAACAAAATTTGAACAAACACGATTTTACATGGAAAATATTAATTTTAGGGAAAAGTTTTTTAAGACTTTTTCGTTCTGCTCAGGTAGCTGAATTCAGAACAACTTTTCATATTTAAAAATTTTTACTTCTGAAAATTTTTGTTTAAAAAAATTTGAAAAAACATGATTTTCCATGGATAATATGAAATTTTTTATAAATTCTCATTTTTGAAAATTTTTGTTCAAACAAAATTTGAACAAACATGATTTTACATGGAAAATATGAATTTTACGGAAAAGTTTATTCAGACTTTATCGTTGTGCTCAGGTAGCACAATTCAGTACAACTTTTCATTTTTACAAATTTTACTTCTGAAAATTTTTGTTTAAAAAAAGTTGAAAAAACATGATTTTCCATGGAAAATATGAAATTTTTTATAAATTCTCATTTTTGAAAATTTTTGTTTAAACAAAATTTGAACAAAGTAGTATAGCTAGGGGGCTTCTACGCCAGGTTCTGATCTCGGCTAAGTACCTGCAGTCGGTAACTGCTCGGTCGGTAATGCAGATTTCTACTTTATCAGCAGTCGGTATGGTAGGAATCTGACAAAATTTCAACTCGACCGATAAGGTAGGAAACTGTTTTACCGACCGAACATTGAAGTTAGTTTACCGACCACCCAATAGATGGCGCTCACTTCAGAGTGTGTTGCCGACTTTAATTAACCTGTTTTATTGAACATTGAAGTTAGTTTACCGACCACCCAATAGATGGCGCTCACTTCAGAGTGTGTTGCCGACTTTAATTAACCTGTTTTATTGAACATTGAAGTTAGTTTACCGACCACCCAATAGATGGCGCTCACTTCAGTCGGTGGTTTTAAACTTTTTTACTTAATTAGTTTACCCGCCACCCAATAGATGGCGCTCACTTCAGTCGGTGGTTTTTAACATTTTTTACTGAATTAGTTTACCGACCACCCAATAGATGGCGCTCACTTCAGTCGGTGGTTTTAAACTTTTTTACTGAATTAGTTTACCCGCCACCCAATAGATGGCGCTCACTTCAGTCGGTGGTTTTAACCATTTTTTACTGAATTAGTTTACCGACCACCCAATAGATGGCCCTCACTTCAGTCTGTGGTTTTAAACTTTTTTACTGAATTAGTTTACCAACCACCCAATAGATGGCGCTCACTTTTATTATAAACTTTTTTAAAAATATATTTTTCAATTAAAACTGTTTTACCGACCGACTTAGTTTACCCGATAGGTGGCGCTTACCATTCTTATCGACTTTGTATTTTTAGATATTATTTTAAATTTATTTCCACGCAACAGTGCTGCGCTCTTTACCTCATGGTAAAATTCTCGCTCGGTCGATAGTTGGTAACTGGTCGACCGAGCGTGCAAGCTAGTTGCGTACGGTGCCGCGTTAATGGAGCCGCGCGAGTTGTATCCCCCACCTGGCGGCGGCGCGCGCCGCTCCATGCCTGCGGTAGTGGTGGGGTATTGCCTATAAGAGTCGGACTGCTCTCGTGGATCCACATAATCTGTTCTAGATGAGCCACGAGAGCAGTCGCAAAATGGAACGGTGCCACTGCTGGCAATGTGTTGAGGAACAATTGAGAAATGTAAGTACATAATAATTACTCATTAAATATATATAATATAATATAATATAATATAATATAATATAATATAATATAATATAATATAATATAATATAATATAATATAATATAATATAATATAATATAATATAATATAATATAATATAAAATATAATATAAAATATAATATATTTATAGAGAGAATATGAGCTTCTAGAAACTCCCCCCAATTCCCCCGCAGAAGGGGGTCTAGAGATGGATGATGGCTATTATGAGCTGTCTGCGGGGGAAAATGATGAGGAGCCACCACCGGCAGTAAGTATAATTAATTTTCAAAATTTAAATTTGAAATTAACTCTTTTTCTTTTTAGTTCCAAACTCCACCACCAGGGGAAGGGGGAACTCCCATTCCAGAGTCACCCAACTCCTGGGTGACTGAAATGGAGTTGCCGGTGGTGGTAATTCCAAGGCGCCGCCACCATCGCCACCGCCATCGTCGTAGCTTCCACTACCGCCACACTCATCGCCACCGCCATCACCTTTCCACCGGTGGGTATATTCTTACTACCAGGACGGTGGTGGTGAGGGTGACGGCGGTCGTGACTACGACGATGGCTTCATAGCATTTTGGAAAGGAAAAAAAAAAATAATAAAAAAAAAATAAATAAATAAAAAAAAAAATTTTCTCGACTCATCTCTTTGCGCATGCGCAGTAAGAGTTAGTCTATCGACGCATGCGTGAAAAGTTCAGAATATTAAATATATATATTGGAAGTCGATCTCGAATATCCCGAGAGCCTTCACGATTCTCATAAAGACATACCGTTTTGCGCAGTTAATGCAAAACCTCCCATGTCTAAGCAGGAGAAATTACTCACAACTCTCCTGCCTAAAGAGAAGTACGTGATGCATTATCGTGCATTGAAACAGGCTCTCGGGAACGGTCTCAAACTAGTCAAAATACATCGGGTGCTCCAATTCAACCAATCACAATGGTTGAAACCCTATATATACTATAATACTGCCATGCGAACAACTGCAAAAAAAATGAATTTGAAAAGAATTTATTCAAATTAATGAATAACGCAGTGTATGGTAAGACCATGGAAAATGTTCGCAAGCATGTAGACATTAAATTGGTTACACACTAGTTCGGCAGATATGGTGCCGAAGCCCTCATCTCTCGGCCCAATTTCGACAGTCGTGCAATATTCGATGAAGACCTTGTGGCCATCGAATTACGAAAGACTGAGGTCCTACTCAATAAACCGATTTATGTGGGTTTAAGTGTGTTGGATGTCTCGAAAACGCTTGTCTATGACTTTCACTACAGTTACATGCTTCCGAAATATGGTGAAGCATGTAAACTGTTGTATACAGACACTGACAGTCTAGTGTACGTAGTGAAATGTCAAGACATATATAAAGATATGAAAGAAGACATCCACAAGTTCGACACATCTGACTATCCGGTAAACAATGCGTATGGTATTCAGCAAGTCAACAAAAAAGTTCTCGGCCTAATGAAGGACGAGTGCAATGGTAAAATTGTTACTGAATTTGTTGGCTTGCGGAGTAAAATGTATAGCATACCCGTTGAAGGTGAAGATTTCGTTAAGAAAGCTAAAGGCATTAAAGCGGGAGTCGTCAAAAAGTCTATTCATTTTGACGATTACGTTGAATGCTTGCGTGATTTTAAGATTCAGACTAGAACTCAATACAACATTAGGTCACGGTTACATAATATAGAAACTGTTAAACAAGTTAAAGTAGCATTAAGTCCATATGACGATAAAAGATACTTGCTTACCGAGAGTACCGATACTCTACCCTGGGGTCACTACAGGATCCCAGAAATCGAAGAATTGTAAATATTTTTGTAAAATAAAATGTAAGGATTTTCATGTTAAATAAATGTAAAAAAATATTATAAATTTTATGTATTTTTTTATTTATAAAAACCTTGTATATACATAACTCATAATTAAAATTGATTTAATTTAAATATTAATAAAAATTTGATTTTTATAATTTTGTTCTAATAATAAACATTGACAATGCCAAATTCAAATATTAATCTCAAAATTGAAACAAGCAGAAATCAATTTGAAACAATTATCACAAAGTGAATTTAATACTCTCTATAATGTAACTGTTTAATAAAATATAATTTAAACATTATTGTAGAATTCTAGTCCTGGAATAAAATCTTCGACAAAGTGCAACATACTTTCATGATATGCACGTAGTAATTTTACATAATTTAAGGTTAAATCATTGTTGATTCATTGTTGATTCACTATTGATTCATTATTGATTCATTATTGATTCATTGTTGATTCATTGTTGATTCATTATTGATTCATTATTGATTCATTATTGATTCATTATTGATTCATTATTGATTCATTATTGATTCATTATTGATTTAACCTTAAATTATGTAAAATTACAACGTACATATCATGAAAGTATGTTGCATTCTGTGGAAGATTTTATTCCAGGACTAGAGTTCTACAATAATGTTTAAATTATATTTTATTAAACAGTTACATTATAGAGAGTATTAAATTCACTTTGTGATAATTGTTTCAAATTGATTTCTGCTTGCTTCAATTTTGAGATTAATATTTGAATTTGGCATTGTCAATGTTTATTATTAGAATAAATTTTGATTTAAGTTATAAATTTGCTTTCTCTTCCCAAGTATTGTGAGAGTTATCAAAGCCAAGCCATTTTACGAGAACTTTATTTCCACGTGTCTTGAGAATTTTTTCAACCAAATAAATATCTGGATATTTTACTTTAAGAAGTTCCTCTGCATAGAATCCTCCACTAATGGGTTGATCTTGATAGTCTTTGAGTTTATAAGTTATAGGTTTAGTTGACAAGACTTGATCTATTGTGAATATTTCTGTTGTCCAATTGGGAGTGTAACCTTTCTCAAACACGCTTTTATACTTGCTGACTCGAACTTTGTCACCAATTTTAAACTTTGCTTTCTTTAAAGGTATTTTTCTTAGCTTTAAAAATCGTTCTTTCAAAATCTCAACATCTTCTGCAGTAACATCTTTCGGCTTCATTCCAATAGTCCGATGTTTAGTGTTATTATAATTAGAAATAAGATTAGGTAATATATCATACCATTTATAATTTCCACGTAGACTGAATTGCATCCACATTTTTCGTTTTAGAGTTCGATTAAATCGTTCAACAATAGATGCTTTCAAATTACTGAATGTTGAGTAGAAATTAATTTTATACTTTTTCATTAAAGCATCAAACTGAGAATTATAGAATTCTTTACCTTTATCAGAATGTAGATTTTTTGGAATACGTCCTTCTATGAATATGGATTTCATAGCGTTAGTGACATCTTTTCCATTTTTACTTTTTACAGGAACAGCCCAAGCGTATTTGGAAAATATATCTATAACTGTTAGTAAATACTTAAAACCTTTATTTACTTTGGAATAAGGTAACATTTCTACTAAATCTGCTTGCCAAGTCTCATCAATATCACGCATGCCGACTCGGCGGCGATGATAATTCCTCCTTGCCTGACTATGAAGTTCAGTCACTACTGTTTTCTTTTTGTCGTTCATTTTCTAGAATACTCAAACGAGCATCCAATTGACTGATAATTTCAGCGTTTCGATATGATAAATCAGTATTTATTTCTCTTTCCAAGACTTTTAATTTTTCGTTTATAGAGTCTTCGAGAATTTTTAATAATATATAGTTATTATCAATTTCTTTTCGCAGTGAAGACGTTACTTGATATATTAGTCTTAACTCGTTTTCGACTAAACGTTGTGCAAGTTGTAAATTAACTACGTCAGTTTTTTCTTTTGCATCAGCAACATTGGAAATTTTTCTACCCTGTAAGTCGAAGTGACCTTCTGAGTTAATTTTAAAACCAATTCCAGGTGGACCTGGAGGTCCTCTTGCGACCCTTACAATTCCTCTTTCATTAAGAGGATGTCCGAACACATCAATGCTCATCTTAAGACTGAGAGAAAGTTGATGGAACTCCTCCTTATATACTTTTCTTGAGCCTGACTAAATGAAACAATAATTTTCAATATATAATTTGCGCTTCACGTAATTCTTCTATGATTGACATAATTTCATTATTGTGACTGGGATTCCCAGCTGCTTGAGATGCCATAAGCAATCGAAGACGGTCAACCAATTCGTTAGGATCATCCCAATAGATATAGTCTGGTTGAAAACTTTTTTTTGCAATCATAAAATGTGGTAGTGAAGTGCCAGTTTTCGATCGTCTTTTTGGTGTTTCATTATGAGGAAAAAGTTTTAAAATAATATTGACATATTTAAAAGTTTTGCTTGTACGTATAGGTTCAGAAGAACTATAATTTTTTCTGTGAGCATTGGAGATGATGAGAATTTGTTTATAATTATTCATATCAACATCGCTAATGTATGACATTTCAGGTTTATTTTTAAATAACAGTTCCAATAAACCGGAAGTAATATTAAAACGTTTATCACCAACATTTATTAAGTGATCTTTAAAACTTATTGGTGCATCACCAATCTTGAGAGAACCATTTTTAACCTTATATACACCGTACAACGTATCTAAACATTGCTTTCTATTATGATCTAGCAAGTATATATATTTATTAACTACTTTATCATATTCAAAGCCTGGAATTACTGATGTTTCATCTTCATCAGCACTCAAAAAATTCATACTATCATCTAATTCATCTTTACTTTTAATTACCTCCTCCTTCTTTTCTATCTTATGATTTTCATGTTTAACATCAGAGAGGTTAACAATTTTCTCTAAGGGTTGAACTATAGGTTTAAAAGTTTCACTCAAAACATTTTCAACAGCTTCTTTTCCAATTTTTAACATGCGATGTTTCCGTCTAATAGCCTCACTAGCTTTGGCAATTTGGCGGAGATACTCTTTCTCCTTACGAAACATGTTGTTAGTTCAAAGATGTACACTAGACTAATACTCATGGAACCAATCACCTTCTATTTATAGTGTTATGAAGCAGTCAAAACCTTTCCTATATCTCCCCTCATTCAGATTGCAGTCTTTATCAATGACTACGAAGCCATATTTATCAGAGTTCCAACATGTTGAACAAATCTCACGAAACTTGGTAAATGTCATGTCTGTATTAACATGATCATCATACACATGTTTTAAATTTGTTTCATCCTGACGAAAAAGAACTAATAAATTAACATTATCTCTTACTAAATGTTTGGGAATCCTCGCATATATCTGACAGAGATAAAAGCAATCAACATTGACATGTCTACCCATGCAGAAGAAAGCTCTTATATTATCTTGCTTTTCACAAGCTACGTCATCAAATATAAAAATAGAGTTTGGCCTTGCACCTTTTGGGGAAATTACATCTTCATGCTCGCTAAATGGTAAATATTTAATTCCCTTAACACTACCTATAACTTTTTCCAAAAATTTATACTTTGGTTGGTGAAGAGATTTTGAGTAGAGATAAATATTATTAAATCTCAGACCATTTGGATGTAAAATTAGAGAAAGTAGTACATTTGTTTTACCACAATTTGATGGTCCACAAAAAATTGCACGAATACTATCAGACAACAAACTACCATGACGCTTCACTTGCTTCTTATCGTACTGTTCTACAATCGCATCTAGATTCACGACTGGAAGCTTGTGATGTTGTTGCTTGAATCGCATTCTGAAAAAGACTGCCGCAAAAGGTATAAATACAGCCCTTATATAGCTTACGAGTCATTCTACTTTTAACTTTCATAGAGTGAGGTATGATTATACATCACCGCTCCCGAGGTAAAGGTTTAGTTAACAGTCTTATAAATAAGTTACCATTTGAATTACACATACCTGGTTATCAATACTGTGGTCCAGGTACTAAATTGATAAAGCGTTTAGCACGAGGTGATACAGGTATAAATCCATTAGACGAAGCTTGCAAAGAGCACGATATTGCATATTCAGAGAATCGTAATAACGTTCAAGCAAGAAACGCTGCTGATAGGATTTTAGCTGATAAGGCGTGGCAACGAGTTTTAGCTAACGATTCCAGTGTAGGTGAAAAAGCTGCTGCTTTAGCTATATTTGGTACAATGAAGGTCAAATCAAAATTAGGTATGGGAATGAGAAGAAAAAAGACATCTAAAAATAAGAAGAAGAAGCAGAAACAAACAGTATTAAGAAAAATTGTTGATGCTGCTAGACATTCCATTATTCCGGGAAATGATACTCAATCTACAATCAAAGCTGCAGTTGAAAATGCTCGAAAAGCTATTAGAAGAGCAGGTGGTAGAAGTAAAATTTTAACACCTCGCATTCTACCAGTACCTTCAAAAGTTGGTGGTCTCTTACCATTAATTCCAATTTTTGCTGGACTCAGTGCTCTTGGAGCTCTTGCTGGTGGAACAGCAAGTATAGTGAAAGCAGTAAACAACGCGAATGCAGCAAAAGAGCAGTTGAAAGAAGCTCATCGTCACAATAGAGTAATGGAAGATGTTTCTTTAGGTAAAGGTCTTTTCTTGAAACCCTATCGACAGGGATTGGGACTTTATTTGAAACCTTACTCTAAAGGATTAGGTATGAGGCAAAAAAAAGATGTTTAAAAAAAAAGTTCTCATAAAACTTCCTCAACGAGCATTAACTAACTATGATTTGCTCAAATACGCTAAAGAGTTAAAAATTCTTCATTTTCGGGGAGTATTCATGCGAAATGAGTTGCCAATAGGAGGACCTCGGAAAAATGAATCTGCCATTATTAATCTCGATAATAAGGATGGTCCTGGAACACATTGGGTTGCTTATAAAAAGCTTCAAGATAAAGCATTGTATTTTGACAGCTTTGGTAACCTTCAACCACCTTTTGAGCTTATCAGTTATTTAGGCTATAATACCTTGATACAATATAATCATGACAGTTGTCAAAGTTATGATACTTTTCATTGTGGACACTTATGTCTTAAATTTCTAAGCGATCAACTCAAATTCTCTAACAAATATAACCTATATAAATACATGTAATCATATGTGAGCAATCAGTCTATAAAAAGTCATCATCATGGATGAATCTTTTACTCTAACTATTTCAGGTAAATCATCTATACTTGAAGCAGAATATTTTCCACCAATAGAATTATTACCAAATAAAAATTATGCTCTTGGTCTTGTTCAACTTCTAACTTTTAATTCAATTCCTAATGTTGATGTAGGAAAAAATAAATTTTATCTTGGTAATGATGTGATTACTATACCTACTGGCAGCTATGAAATTGAAGATATTGAAAAATATATTCAAAATTCCATTCAACAAGGATCGCAAATTATAAGCATTAAACCAAATTATAATACCTTGCGTTGTGAAATTATGACTAGACGTGAAATTGATTTTACACATAAAGATTCAATTGGTGAATTATTGGGATTCACTGCACGCATTCTCGAAGATAATGCAATACATACGTCAGATTTCACAGTAGCTATTCTTAATGTAAATGCTATTAGAATTGAATGTAGTATTACAACTGGTGCATATATTAACAATAAAAAAGTACATACAATTCATAAATTTTTTTCCAATTGTTCCAGCTGGATATAAGATCGTGGAAGTACCATCTCAAGTCATTTATCTTCCAATCGCCGTGAAGACAATACATAATATTCAAGTGCGAATCGTTGATCAAGAAGAAAATTTAATAAATTTTCGTGGTGAAACTATAACAATTAGATTACACGTTAAGTCAACGTAATGGGTAAAGTATTTCACAGAAAAACTGGTGGAAGCTATATAAACGAGCAACCATGTCAAAAAGCAATCAGTCTTCAATCAGTTCGCAAAAGGCTAACACCTCAGAACATACGTTTCCTAAAGCAGCTCGGTCTACGAGTTTAACAAGAAAACAAAGGAAGAAAAGTAAACTAATCATTAAAATATTTTTCATTTGCTGTTGTTTCTATAAAAGAAATGGAAGATATTCTAAACATTCTTAGACCAGTTAAATTTGATGATTCTCTGGCACACTATGAGATTCATTCTCACCAACCCTACAATTCATCAGCATTTAATAATAGTGATGAAATTCGAATTCCAGTTCAAAATCAAGATCAATACATTTTACCCTCAAAAAGTACATTACACGTAACAGGAAGATTAGTAAA